TTGGCGCTGGTGTGAAGTGTGGTTGTGTTGAGGCTGGGTAGATTGATGCTTGGTTTTGGAGGGGAGAAAGATGAGGTTTTATACCTGAGTGCTGTCTTCAGGTTCAAGTCGGGATCTTCATGGTTCTTCTCACAGTGCAGCAGCATGCGTTAGCAATACGACATTATCTGACGATTACCTTGTTCGTGGTAGCTGGAAGCTGAGAATATTGTGCACCTTCAAGGACCGAAGTGGTGTAACCTTCTAAAGTTGTCAAGGTAATCTGTTTCGCGTCGCACAACTTACTCATAGCAGCGATCTGGATACGGATGCTCTCCTTAGGCCAGCTCCATCTTGACGTAGGTCTTCCTGTTTGAGGATGATGGTATCGGTTGCTTGTTGCTGGATACCTCGTTTGGGGGAAATGGGGTGTACAGGTAATGAACTGCAGGAACTGATAAAAACTGCTTTCTTGGTTAGCTTCCTAGCTCGTCGTAGCAGGCTTACTGGTTGACGTAGTTAGTCATTCGCGGTCAACGTTGCGTGTAGATACACCAATCAGGCGTAGACCTGTATATTAAGCATGACATTAGCATTTACTGCTCCTGTCTTCATGTTGCACACAGTGCGCAAGACAGGAAACATTCTACGTTAGCACATCGTATTGAACTGCACGTAAGCGAGCGGCGCGTCCCATCGCCTTCGCTCGCCTCGCTGATCTCAACCCGCAATGGCTCAACACAGCGCTCAACGTCGAACATACGGTGTCAGATGTGACATTCTGATATTATTTAATTTAATGAGAGCCAGACTGGGGTGTAGTCCGTCTGAACGACCACTCTGAGACGAACGCTGGCCTACCAGAGACGCCCAAGTACCATGCAACGCATGGCGAACATGATGTACAGCGAATGTATCGGCTGCGATACGCAATGAAGCGACGAGTCTTTCCAATTTGCAAAAATGCCAAACACAAAAGGAGGCCAGCCTTAGCTGTGGGTAGGAGACGCATGGTTACAATAATCCCGAGTTTCCTTGACGCCTCGCTGAACAGAACAAAACAGTAAGGGAAGGTACAGTGGTAATAGTATATGGACAGGCCAAATTGGCGGACAAAGGAAATGTGTGTAGTCATCAACGGTGATAACTGGTGGCGCTGATGGGACTCTCAGCACGCGACGCTGTTGAACGGCGCGGTCTCTTGGAGGTCCTCGACAAGGTCATCCACGTTGGGGAGGTACCGTCCCAGCATGTTCTGCTTCTCCTCTTGTGACCGAATGTGCTTTCTGGTCGCACCTCCGCCATCGTCGCCAGTCGCAGTGCTACCCCGCCGCTCGAAAGCACTGGTCAGCTTGCTAGGACTCCGATGCGGGCCAGAACCTGGGATCTCGGGCATGAGGTAAAAGTATAGGAATTCCAGCAGCTTGACTTTGACGTTTTGTGTAGTCTCTTCGTCCTTGAACAGGCTGGTCACGGTGAGCAGGCCGTCCATATGCTCAAACACTCGCGTGTTCTGTGGTGTCGCAAGAAGCGCGGTGACTAGGACGAGGAGGGCTTGGGATTGGATGGCGGGGCAGTTGTAGGGGTCGAGCAGGTCGAGGAGGACGTTCATGTAAACTTCGCGACCGAAGATGATGCGCGATGGCGGGTGCAGCAGGAGAAGACCCTGAATATTCGATAACGAGGAGAGGATGAGGATGTCGTTTTGGCCATCTATCGGTAGTTGATTAGCTGGTGTTCGGCATTTTCTAGTCGGGCCTCTTACCCTTACTGCTTCCCATGCCCAGCAGTCGATCCAGACAGTCGGCTACCCGTGTTACAACTATAATTGTTAGTATGTACTGGCATTGTTGCAAGTTCCCAACTCACCATTCCACTCGAATCCCTCTTGCAACCGAAAGAATTCGCGAAAGGCAAGATCGTCTGATAGCTGCCCCAGCTTCTTCGGCGTTGGTTGTTGTTGATCTCCCAAATTGAGCGCAGAGGCGTTCCGTCGGTGACCCGGTGGTGAGTTTCGTGGCTTGCCGCTTGAAAGACATATTTGCGCCAACATGCCCTCGATCTGGCGCAACCCTTTGCGAATCTTCTGCGTATCCTTGGACGCTATGTTGTCGAATGCGAGGGAGAGTAGAGCTTCCATTGTGAAATTGATCTGAATTTACCGGTGCAAAAACAGTAGCGACAGCTCTATCAACCAGAGTTAATATATGCTGCGACTAAGGATGCAGTCCAGATGTTGTTGAGATCAAGCGTTGGAGGTGCAGAAGGCGGTAGGGGAAGGCGGGAGGGGGGTTACATACATGCAGCTAAGAGGTCCAAAGTGCGGAGTAAGCAATATTCTACGCCTGTGTGGGCCGCAAGATTCAGGCTTGGGCCTTCTCGAGCTGGCCGACAGTTGGCGTGGGAGAGCCTGGTGGCATCGATAAACACCCGCCGTTGCCATGGAAATCGCGACCCACCGGCGGCGGTTCGAGCCGTGCACTACTAGCCTGGCCAGGGAAGCACTACCACAACTCAACACCTCATCTTGCGCGACACCCTTACCTTGTCGACAACCGTTTACTACACCCTTGAATATGCCCATAGTTTCTGCTAGCAAAATGACAGCGGCATCGTGACGGGCAACGTGCGGTCAAAGCCACTGAGAACTCTGCACCGGCTTGGTCCCGCAGGTGCAACTACGTCATTCACGACTCGCATTCACTACTCGCCATGCGTGGAATGCCTCGCACGTCTGACTGAGAGTAAGGCTGTTGCGATGTCGCTCGCAAGGGGTGACGAATACGAGCATGCGTGCAAATGACCGAATCACAGCCTTGCCCGTCATGGTGTTGCTGTTCACCGGACCTTGGCAGCCTTCCGACTATGCCATTATGGCTGACCGCAGCTGCTTCTTCGCGAAATTCAGAGCTTCGCAGTACAAGCCTCCGACGCCAAACCTCTTTCCCGCAGTTTCATGCACACCTCTAGAAGAAACTGCCGTGGTGGCTTGCGTCCCGAGGTCTGTCAGAGACTCAGCCGCTCAGCCTTGTGCGCCAGGCACCATCTACCTTATAACTCGCGATGGCTCCAATGATTGAATTGTCGTGAACTTCCGGCTACGGATTCGCGATTACACCCACCAAGCCACCCTCAACATCAACTTTTCGTTTCCTCACTATGGCAGTGAACTCTTACTTTTGGAACGCGAACGTGTTCATTGCCGTCATTCGTTTTGCCCTGTTCTCACCCGCGATAATTTACTGGGTCGCCGCGTCAGACCACCACGAGTTTATCAGGATCAATCCCGAACTTCACGACGGTATCTACGGCACGTCCATGCTAGCTGGCGAAAGGCTTGGGGACAAATGGGGCCTAATCTTATGGATCTGGAACGTGGCCTGTTGGTGGCCTGCGCTGGTATGCTTCCCTCCACTGAACCTACCTTTCACGATTGTCGACACTACGATCACCGTCTTTCTGGCGATGGCTACAAACTACCAGGTTGGATACATACCTCTTAATCCGAAAGCTTGTCATGACAAAGCGGGCCTCGAATTGCAGCGACCCATTGGCACGAATGAGAGCTTTTTCGCTGCTGCCGGAAGACTCAACGGGACAACGGCGACTTCGACTGCCATGTGCTTGGAATTCGTGGAGGAGGCACAATATGGTGTTGCGCTAACGTAAGCTGTACATTCGTGGATAGATGGGCCTTGCTGACTACCACAGCGTTTTGTACGCCCTCGTGTCGTTCATCGGTATCCTTGCGTTCCCCGTTGGTATTTTAGAGTTGAGAAAGAACGGCGAGTCCATTCTCGACATGGTAAAAGAAATCCTTAAAATGCACAGGGGTTGCTTCGCTTGCATGTTCAAGTGGCCAGCGCTCTTGGTGTATGGCATTCTGGTCTACACCCCGATCTTGTTCTTCCGTTACCTACCGATGGACTTCAAAGCCCCGGTGCGATCAGCCCGCCGGTACGTCACGAAGGCTACGATAGGGGCGGAGCAAAAGATCGAAATGATGTTGACGGAGCGCATAAAGCACGCGAGTAACAGCGGTGATACTGTTCTACCATGTCAAGGTAGTGGTGGTACTCAAAACGAGCTTTCACGATTTCTGGCTGTCTACGACATGTTGATCATGGTCGCCAAAGATCTGCACTACACCGATATCGCCAGCCTATCATCAGTCTCAAAATCAGTCCGCGAATCAGTCCTACCTTCGAACGATGTCTCAAGCCGACTTGGTATCTTCAGGCGCTACACGTGCGGCCCTGGCGAGAAGAACACCTGCTGGGGCTGCACGAATCAGATATGTGAAGGGTGTCAAGAGTATTCTTATATGCCACATGCGCCTGCACTTCATCATCTCGAGGATTGCGTCCCATACTGCGCATCGTGCTACCATACACACATCGTTCGCAATTCTCGCAATCGTAGAAGTCGAGCGAAGGGGAACCCAGCCTGCGTCTGTGTGAAGCTCCGTTCTTATCGGCCTCAAAGAGCGTTTTGGGGATTTCTCAACAGACACGCGTACTACACGGAGATGAGGCTATCTCAGACTACTAGGCGACTCTGTCGTATTTGCAGTCAGGTGGACAATGAAAAACTTGCCATGCGAAAGGCAGAAAGCGCGGTGGGGTTGCTGAAGAAGGGATTGAAAAGCGATGGAGGAAAGTGGAAGACGTGCGCAGTCTTGGAATGTGGTAGGAGGCTGGGGAGTGGTCCCAGATACTGGGTATGTAAGCACTACAATTGCGACAAAGAGTGCAAATGTACTATTCACCCAGCGTGGGGCAGCAAGACAGATGCCGGCGTTACTGGAGAGGCTATTGCCTAATGGGAATACCTACGGATATGGATCACTATACAATTCCGTCGATTGTCTGACTAAGTTCTTTCTTGTACAACGTGGCGCAATGCTCTCTAACCCCGTTCATAACAGGATCCATGTCTCGATACTACGCATTCATTTGTGTGGGACATGTATTACATTATTGGTATAGTTCTATGACTGAACAATCAAATAGTACCACTATCTACAGCATCATCGCGGCAAAGACACCGGCCGCAAGAGCAGCAGCACCTCCACCAAGCTTGGTAGCAGCACCAGTGTACTCAGCTGGGTCGCTGCTAGTGGGGCTGGGCATGGCCATGGTGCCATTGGGAGAAGTACCGTTGCCACCGACCATCTCAAAGTTCGCGCAAGTAATCCTCGTAGTGTTGCCAGTGTGCAAGACAAACGCCAATCCACCGAAGAATCCAGCACTGCCCTGCTCAACACTGAGGTACGGGTCGACAAAGCTAGTAGTGAAACTTCCTTCCGTCATGATCTTGCCGCCGTGCTTTCCAGCCAAGTCACCAACCTGGCACGTCTCAGGCTGCGCGGAGTCGCACATGACGAGCTCGCCACGGTTTGTAGGGTCCAAGTGGCCCATAGTTGCTGTGCAGTTTCCGTCGGAGGGGACGGGCATGGCGTGGATGTGCCAGGCGAATGGGCCGAATTGCGCTTGGTCGGGTAGGTTGGTCAGGTCGACGGTGAAGTTGACACCACCTGCACCACCCACAGCTTGGATGGAACCGGAGATGGTGCTGCCCACGAAGGGGTTGTATTGCACCTCTGGCATGGTGGCGCGGTAGGTGGCTGAGGGCTGGTTGGAAGACGCGGTTGCAGTACCCTCGAGACCACCAGTCTCACCTGGGAGGTAGCCAGGCGCAGGCGGAAGGGGAGAGACGATGGCTCCCTGGATTGTGTCGACGCCAGTGAATGGAGTGGCGGTTGGAGTGGCGGGAATGACACCAGACTTTGCGGTCGCGAGGACGACCGGCGCAGGAGCACCCTCTTGGACCTGCTCCTGGGCGTATGCCAGAGCGCCAAAGGCGAGAAGGGAGAAAGACTTGGACAGCATCTTGTAGTTTGGCGATTGGTGTCTGAGGAGCGAAGGTGTTGAAGATGCAGGTGCTTGACTGCAGGTGACAGAGACTACCCTTTCGTCTCTTATACCAATTCAATGATCAACACACGCCTCGTCAGGCATGCAAACAATACATTAGCTCTCCTCCCAATAGACGCCCCTGAGCTTGTCACCAAGGTGACATCAGTAACTGTCATATCCTTCGCTTCCTCCACCAACAACACCCATCCCATGGACGCCTCCAGCCGAGCTAACACGGCTCATTCCTCCGCCGCAACAACAGAGCCAGCATGCCCTCGCGTGCGCATTCCAGCCGCCTCGATGCATTCAACAAGCTCCATTTGTGCTGTGCCAACGGATAAATCGTGCCGTTAGCTGCTCGTCGCTTGCCTCGCGGCAATACGCAGCTATTGCCGGTCATGAGATTGGCGAAAGCTTGAAACGCAGCGGAGTCTGCAGCGAAACCTTGCAAACAAGCCTTTTACAGGCCAGCAAACGTTCGGATATCCGCCCGGTCCGCATTAGCGCTGTCTGGGGTGCATTGCAGGACCGTGCCTGACATCAGCATGTGGAGAGGCTGGCAGAGATGGTCGTCTTGGTCCGAGATGGCGGGTCGTCGAGCGTGATGTCAAGACTCGATGGATGCGGGGTGCTAAGCGAAATATGACAACGCCGCGCGCTAGGATTCAATACTGTTACTCCGCGGTGGCTAGAATTGAGGTGACGCGTAGATGTAGAAGAAAGGGCAATTAGACGTTTTGGCGAGACGAGGTGTGCCTGCTTCCTTGGTTTGTTGGCCGTGTCGCAGCAGCATGTCAGGGGCGTATGGCTTGCGACTCAGCATGAAGAAGGGACGCGACGGGTACCTTACTTCGAGTGTACACCGTGTTTTGAGGAGAAATACAAGCTGTCGGTGGCTTGTTCGATGGTATCCGGCTGATTGGACACGACACTTCTGAAATAACGCGATCGCGCCTTCCTGGAGATTCATTAACGATAACCTGTAACCTCATCATTCTAGGAGCAGAACGCAGCAATACTTCAGACTAAGTATACTGCAAGCAATCCGAAACTGGTTACGAAAGTTAGTGATGAATAGAGATGATAGTGGAGTTCGTTGGGAATGCGGCCCTCTGGGAGCACGATTGTCAGCTGCAATGAGCAACCATCTCAGACGCACAAAGACCCCGGAGCTCGTGAGCCAAGCTTGATGAGCTTTGTGTTCTAGGCTGCCTGTTTGGCGACGCGAGGGGTCAGAAACATCTTATAGTCGTAGTACAGATGTGTGTACATCATAACCTGCTCAAAAGGACTCTTCGCCTCATTGGTGCCTTCTAGAAGCCTTATAGCAGCGGCCAACATGAGATGCTCGATTTTTTCTATTCAAGCATAACTCAATACCCAATGCTGTAGGCTGATAAGAGGTTGGTGTAGCCAGAAAAGCAGAGCGTGATGTGATTTCCGATGCGCACACTTGCGACGATTGGAGGGATTTCAAATCGCGCGAGCTGTACAAGCCCGATCCGCGGAGCCCGGTTGGACATGTACATCTCGCGCTGATGATGCAAGATCCGAGGATCATTGGAAGAAGGATATAAAGATTGTTCAGTGTCAAGACCGACGTGGCGTTGCAACCGATGCGCGTAAAACCCACCGCGCCTTAGCGTGTCGCGGTCGCGGCTTCCCTCCTCGACACCTCTGATCCCCCACCAGGACATCATCGCCAACGCTCTGTGGAGACCTCTGTCAGAGCATCTATCAAAGTTATGCCGCTCGCAACTTTCTTGGTCTCGAAGATACCGATGTGATCCGATACGCCCTTCCACAGGAGGATTTGCGATTCCAACAGTGGCACCGCCCCCTGTCGCGAGCCTTCATCGCCGGGTGGAGCTATGACCACCATAACGGGGTCCTGCGAGTACGAACAATCCCAAGTATCGTGAGCATTCGCTGTTGCGCTCCGTATACAGCTTAAAGGTGTATCTCATTTGCTCTGCCAAGGATTCCTGAAAGCGAGTCTCTTCGTACCGGAAGATCAGTCCACCTGGGCACCATTGGCGGAGCAATCCGCCGCAGGCCCAGCAAGCATTACATCTCGATTGAAGGCCACCGACCAATCCAGAAAGGTAGAGGCATTGAAGCACGCAATCTGCATCCAATGCAGTATACATGCTTCGTGAGCATCGTAGTAACAAGTGGGGTTGCACATTATGACGGCGGGGTTGAGCAGGTATGAGGTAAGACGCTCGTCAGGGAACAACATGCGACGCCTCAAAGGCTTGCAGCTCGAATAACACCTATTCACTGTTTGGACTGCTTGATACAACAGAAGAAACGGCGTTCTCATCATTTTTAACAACATGTCCGACTACAGCGATTATTGTTGCAAAAGGCGAACGATTCAGCAACTTCCAGTCCCCGCTCGGAAGGGTCACAATGCCATACTCAACTCCAACTACTTAGACGATATTGTCGACGCGATTGGTACGTGGAGCTGCCAGCGCATCCTCATAGTGCACTCGAAGGCGCTTCACGAGAACACGGATATTGTCGAGAAGCTGAAAGAAAAACTGGGCTCGTTTGTTGTAGGGACAAAGTCGGGGGTCGGCGCTCACTCTCCATACGAAGACGTACTGGAGATCGCGAGACTATTCCACGAAAAGAACGCGGATTGTCTGATCAGTATAGGAAGTAGCAGCTACTCGGATGCAAGCAAGATCGCTCGCTTGATGCACGCGAATCTCGCTCCAGATAACCTCACGGTAGAGGCCATGGAATCCTTGGTAGACCAAGAGAAGGGAAGTGCAGTTGATCTGAAGGACCCAACGACAAAACTCATCCTCGTACCGACGAGTCTATCCGCAAGCGAGTGGAACAACAACTCATCTGCAACGAACCCCAAAACAAAAAAGAAGCAGCATTTCGCAAGTGAGCATGCAGCACCAGACCTCATCCTCCTGGATCCTGAAGTAGCGTCCACATCGCCTCGGAAGTTGTGGCTGTCGAGCGGGATGCGCGCTATAGATCATTGCGTCGAAACGGTATGTACTGCCCTCGGAGTTTCGCAAGGTAGAGACTGTATTGACACTGTGTCATCAACAGATGCTCAACGCCAAGTGCACCCGAGAGGTTTTTCACCATATGGAAGATGCGCTTGCAGTCCTATTGAAAGGGCTGAGAAACTACAAAAACGGCGAAAGCGACAGCAACCGATCCGAGCTGCTCGATGGAGTCGGAAATTGCCAGATAGGTTCTAGGAACGCGATGATGGGTCTCATACTGTGGAGCGTTCCGATGGGGCTTTCGCACGCCATTGGACATCAGCTGGGAAGTGTGTGCGGCGTTATGCACGGCGTCACGTCTTGTGTCATGCTCGCCCCTGTTCTACGGTACAATGCCTCGAAGTCGGAGAAGCAGAGAGAGGTACAGCAACGCGTGCTGGGAATCTGGAACAAGGTCCTTGAAAGCGACGAGCCAAGCCTTGCGGATGCGGTGGCCAACTTTGTGAGAAGCCTTGGGTTGCCGAGTACGCTGAACGAAGTAGGTGTTACGGAGCAAAAGGAAATTGAGAAAGTAGCGGAGCGCACCATGACCGACGTGTTCGGAGCGATGGAAGGTATGGGCGAGAAGGAGGATGTGCTGGCTATCTTGGCTTCAGCAAATGCCCAAGGTACCGAGGATGGAGGACTGGAAGGAGGCGCACCGATGTAGAACACGCTCTAGGTAGAACAAACGTAACACTCGCTTATATCAGCTGCGCTCTCGACTTGCCCTTGGGGAAATAATGCAACCGCAGGTCACCCATCGGAAGCTTCTCAGACTTTGCTACATCTTCCATAATGACAGTCGCCAGCTCAGCAGGAAGCTGGCCACCGCCCCATCGCCTCATAGTCCTCCAAATCTCGTATATCCTGCTACTTTCGTGCAGAAACTTTGTGGATCGACGGAACCAGCCAGCGGTCATGTGCTGAGCCACAGTGTACGAGCGGGCAAATCCCCACCTCTCCCAATCTTGCAGATCTTGCGCGGCCCATATGGGGAGTAGATCACTGGCCCTTGACAACGCTAGCGTTACCGGTGCCGTAGCTTTGTCCCAAGCAATGAGTTTGGGGGTTGATGATGAAGATGTGCGCGGTTGGGTAGAATGCGAGGATGGTGGATCCCACTGATCCACACAGATCGTCAACAGCGCATCATCCAGGATCCAATACAGACTCTCGCGTTGACTGTGTAGGAACCGCTCCAGTCCGACGTCCTTGTGTCGCAGAATGTTGACGCCCCAATACACCAGTGAGCATGCCGCCTCTGCCCACGATGCTGGCGCGACGTCCACCAGCTTGTGCACGGTCGCGGCAAATTCGCGGGTACGATGGAAGAGCATTTGGTATAATTGCGGGATAACAGTTAGACCATGAAGATCGGCTAGGGTACTGATGTTCATGGACCGGATGGCAAGGTCCATGGTGTAGGTGGGGTGGTGAGACCCGCGGTCCCAAGGTCGCAGAGTAGGGACGCGGAATTGTCCATCTTGCGGCAAGGGATCAGAGCCTAGACGTAGCGGAACCTTGGATTCGGGAGGTAGATTTAGCGCAGGCATCATGGTGACCATCACAGCTACAAGGCAGGCCAGAATGATGTAGGAGCGATGATTGTGGATGCTGTTGGTTGCGGCCTTACACCAAGTGAGCTGAGCTGAGCTGAGCTGAGGTTGTCTTGTTGGGAAGCGGGGTACACAGTCCCTTCCAGCTAAGGGAGTGCAAGGAAACCTATGGGATAACGATCCAGAAAGCGTGCCTGTGTGTGAAAGGGTCCCTCACGTGGAAGGGCGGCTCCTGCCCATTCGGCACGCTAGCGCCCTCCGACGCCGGACAGCCGGCAGCTCTGGACGCGTACGCCTCAACACACATAGACCCTTCTTCATACAGCCCTTCGAAAATCGCGTGTTGTTCGATCATCCGCGCCATTCATGAAATCGCGAGGCCCTTCTCAACAGA